CAAATTTTTTCAGCAGCATATGCTAAAAATCAATAATAAAGGGTCAAATAGAGAAACAGGGAAATAAATAAATTATTAAAATGAAAAGTATATAATAAGGATACTTACCTGATTAGCATGAAATATAAAATTCAACTTGGTAATAATGGTTATTGAAATTATATAGAAGCATTTTATTGTAGCCAAAAACTTTTGGATTAAACCATTAGCAAATCTGAGGTGTAAAACTCACATCAGTATCTATTTATTCACCAGTTCTTCAGTTTTCTGAGAACCAAGAATTGTTCAAAATATATATTTCATTTTTAGCAGAGCAAAAATTGTCGGGCCCCCTCCCCCGTAAATTGAACTAGAACTAAGTAATCAATGCTTTTCACTACATTCAAATGCTCAAACTGGGTCTTTAATTTTTGTTAGATTAAAGAAATGTAGGAAGTGACATTTTACTATGCTTTTCTCCATTATTTCAAGGATTCATTCACTTACAGCTGAGGCAGTAAAAGGATGTTGCAAAAGGATTACCAGAAAATGTAGATTGTGCTCTGGCAAACTTATGAATTTGTTTAAAGATGGAGGACGGTTTCTTGACTCGGGAGAGGACTTTCTAGACTGAAACTAAAAACTGCTCTACTGAAAGAAGCATCTTTATACAAGATATTTTTGAAGAGTAAGTTCTAACCTAACTTCCAGAATTACTTTCATCTATCATTTTCTTTCTTGGCATTTCCCCCCTTAATTTTCATTCTTTCTAAAAAAATATATCAAACTAATTAGCATACAGGTAATCCCCAAATTACAAGCATTAAGTGAACAAGCGTTCACTTAATGCTTGTTCAAAGTTACGTGATGAGCCCCCCCCGGTGCTTACGAGCAAGTCCCGAAATTATGAATATTGCAGCACGGCAGTCGTTCGTCCTTATGAGCGACCACAGTGGCTCTGCAACATTCACCCCAGTTATTCCCTCCCTCCCCAAACCTGCCCCGGGTCTCCATAAGCACCAGGCCTTCAATACCCATCCTGCAAAGATCGAGATCCTTCGCTTTTTTGGCTGCTCCAGACTTTCAGTGCGTTCACAGAGAATAGAGGCCTAAAGTAACGCAGGATCACGCAAGATCAGTGGAGTGAGATCTCACACTACTGATCTTCCGTCATCTCATGGTATTTTAGGCCTCTGTTCTCTGCAACAGAGAACAGAACTGAAGGCGGGGGACGCTTCCATGTGCCTCCGGAGGCTGGATTGGGGCTCCGGAGGCCTTTTTAAGGGTGTTGCTGCCCAGATCTGTGGCCACCGAACGCTTCCACGCCCACCGCAACCTGATTCGGGCTCCAGAGGCGTTTTCCAGGCCAGATCGGGCCGTGGGGGGGCGCGGAAGAATTCATCAGCCAGAGATCCGGGCAGCAGTGGTCTGGAAAATGCCACTGGAACCCAGATCAGGCTGTGGAGGGGCTGCAGAAACATCCCCCGGCCTCAGATCTGGGTGGCAGCAGGAACCATGGCAGAGAGGAGACAGATCTTTTCCAGGTGAGTCCAGCAAGGCAGGAAGGAAGGGGGAAGCATGCGGTATCTTAGTGAGTCAGGGAGGCCTTGGGGTCTTGTTCCATCACTAGGCCCTCCATGGCCTTCCCCACCTTGAGACACCTCATGTTCGCTTAACAAGCCCTGTGCGTTTTAATGAGCAAGGGAGTGATCTTGTTTGACGAGATTCACTCTACAAGTTTTCGAGTTACGAATGGAATGGGCAGGCTCCATTACACTCGTAACTCGAGGACTACCTATATTTTAAATCATAACCATTAACAATATAATGTAGTCTTAAAATAAGAGAAACATAAGAGAAGAAAAGAGAAAAAATTATATTATAAACAGAAAAATAAAAAACTGAGGTTTTTTTTTAAATTCACTCCTCTGTAACATACAAAACTAATTCAAACAATGATACACATTAACAATCCACCACTGTAATTTAGTGGGGAGTTCTACATTATAAAGCTCCTTTAGCCAACTGCTATGTCTGAAAATTTCACAGATCTTGACAGAGATATAGCTAAGAGGACCACATCCATGCACAGTCTTATTAACAATCTTACTGATATCATCTCCAAATGTGGCAATGATAGAACATGTCCAAACCATGAGCTAATTTTCAAGCTGTATCTTGGTGATAACAACCAATATTATGAAACATTCACAAAGGTACCCAAAGTGCATGAAACATGTTTTTGTTTAATCTCATTTTCAGACCATAAGAAATTAATTTCATGTTATTTAAAACAACCTCCCATTCCTTTATCAGGATAGGACATTCAAATTCATTACTCCTGAGGTAAAATAAAAAAACAGTATCGATGTCCTTCAACTATCTTTTAACAAAAAATTATTTGCATAGAAGCCACAGTTTGTTCCTCTATAACATCCAGTCATTGTAGAATCTCAGAAACAGCAAGGCAATATGGAAAAATAGAACTACTCAGAAATGCTTGTATTAAATAAACTTCTAAGAATAATTCTGGAAATTCATTTTTAATTTTACAAAATGTTTTATTTTTTTAAAAAAATCTAAGGCTGAGTTGATCCAAATTAATATTATGAAAGGCTCAGTTTACCCAATAAATAGATTTACCCAGTATTTTTAACTAAAGGATTATACTATAATGTAAGATTTCCAGAAGTAAAAAGGAATGCTGATAACCTGGGAAAAGTTACTGAGGAGAGCAGAGCTCTGGCAAAGCAAAAGAAGTATTTATTGCCTTAGAAAGAAAGTCCATTTATGGAATAATTGTTTCTTTGTTCTTTCAAAATTTCATTGTCTTAGTCCTGCCCCATTACCTCATACCCTAAGGACCTCAGTGACCTCATCAGGCACGTGATGTATTTATATCCAATGAAATGTTTTTATTGCTCTAGCCAATCACATGCATTTTATTGTCTGTAAAAATCTACAAAAGGGGACTTTTCCCTTCTTTAGGGTGATCTTTGCTTCCTCTGGTGTCAATACAGCAATTTATGCTTCAATGTAATATGTCCTGGTGTCTGGTTTAATGAATCCCTTTTTAAAAAATACTTCCTATTACAATTTCAATGGGTTTAATAATAACTAGCAAGTTGAGTGTAAAGAAAAAGTGATTTCTGAAATTCCTTAATCCAGTTACTGACCAAAGCAAGGATATATGGCCAGTGAAGTCTGAAAGTATGGAAAACAAAATTTATCTTTTCCAAAATTCGGACCTTAAATGCTTTGCAGTCTCAACGCCTTCGATCCTACTGTATAATATCAATTGAATCCTGCATTGACCATCAAAGCCCCATGCAAGAAATGATTTCCACTGAACACTTAGGAAATTGTATAGTTGGACACTATGATGCCATCTTACAAGGATGAAGAAAGTAATATAAGCTTTGGCAGCAGTATAAAATGGTGTTTTAAAATAGATTCCAGGTGGCAGTCATTATGATCTCTACGTGATTCATTACACAATTTTCTAATTGAAGAAATGTGATTATAGAACCATTTACCCTGTAAAGAGAAATAAATGCTTTGGGCAAGTTTAGCATTCTGAAAGCTAGATTTGATTTTTATATTTTTTTTAACACAATGAAGTTGCTCACTTTTCTTTAGAATAATCAAATAAAGATTTCTGAAAAAGGAATTCTAGTTTAGTTTGGGCCATGTAGGAAATATGTCTGAATGCGTTTTAGCATAAGAGAATCAATGTTCCCTCTTTATTTCCTATGAAAGCTTATTTGTAAAAGTATCAAATATTTACAGTATATGGGGAGCATATCAAAAAAGTTATGATGAAAAAATCTTTCTTGCTCTGATGAGAATAGTTCAAGAGCCTTGCTTCAAACAGGCCTTTCTGAGATTAAGTGGGAATCACCTGAAGTTCATTACTCATGTAATCAAAAAATGGGATAAGAATCAAGAACAGACTTCTTTAAAATGACTGGGGTTACAACTGATGACAAGTTCAATATTCCTTGCTCCAGTGAAAGCGATGGCAACATTAAGACTTCGTCTGCTAAAATTCTTGTTTGGCATACAATTGGTATCCAACTCAAATTACTTATTTAATTTTGCTTACATGAACAGAAATATCAGTTAAGTGACAGGATAAAATAGGGTTTCCAATTGGTGTTTTCTGTCAAGGGCAGTGATATTGTGGAAGATGTACTAAGAATAAGTTTAAAATCTTAATTCAGGTAGTCTTCCTTCCCTGTTACTTTGATTCACTAATGCATAAAATATAGCAATACTGCCACCTACTGTTCAAAAGTATACAATTATTACATGGGCTGAAGAAAAAGAAAATGCTACATCAAGTTATGGTTCTCAAAAAGAAACAATGTCATGTCTTTATTTATTCGTTTGATTTAGATACTATGCATCTTACTCTCAGAGTGAGTGTTGACAATCTTATACCATCAGTGGCAGCAACTGGGGAAAAAACTTATTCGCAAAGATAGGGATCACAGTAAAGACCAAAATCAGTTATAAAAATTATATACAAAAAAAAAAAACCTTCCTAAGAAAGTTTGGAACAGCCATTAAACAGGATGGAAAACCACTGCTTTCCCCACCCCCACCCCAGGATACTGCCCATTGTTCAAGTAATGTTATTTAATTTAATTTATACCCTACCTTTTTTTTTTTTTTACGTCAAGGCAGCATACCTAATGTTCTGTCCTCCTACTTTCCCCACAACAATCATGTGAGGTAGGCTGGGCTGAGAGAGAATAGTTGACTCTGATCCCAAGGGGAATAGGTACATAAAGCAATAGGTACATAAATCTACAGAAAGCATAAAAGGAATCTTCTTTGTAGGAAGTGACTGGTCTAAGAGATAATGGGCCAAATTTACACTGGGAACATTTAAAGTTCATACTGTAATATTATGTATCAAATATAGCATGTTACATATTATATAGTACATTGTATTACATATAATATACCAAATATCACTGTTGTATGAAACTGAAATTATGGAAAATATGGTTTACCGTCTTGATGAAACTCCTTTCTTTGTCTTCCCAAAATTTGTCACTTAATTCAATTGTGCAGTGAATATTTATTTCTCTCTCATAGGATCCAAAAATAAATAATCTGAAATTCAAACATATAATTATTAAATTACCATCAATTGTTTACAGCTGCTACATTTTCTTTACAAATTTATTCATAGTACACTATTTCAGGATATCAGAAGTTTAAAAAAAGAATTTGCACCCTCTAGTGGAAACAGGTAGGAAATGAAAGCAAAGACACAATTTCAACATTTTTCATATAGGGTAGATATAATATATGCACTAAAGTAGATAACAAGTGTAACTGTGCATCATTGCAAAGTAAATAGTATAAAAACTGTGACTGAAAACTAATTTTAATTAAATGTGAATTAGTGAAATCATTCTATAAAGGGAAAATATTATTTTTTTCTGACAGGACAAATACATATCTGTCATCATAACTTTTAAGTACTTCTGAAAATATGTGCATTATGAAATGTACCTGCCAGCTAATTAGAATAGCCTTTTAATCCATATTTTTAATATATACTCAGTATAGCTTGTATGTGAAGATTCTTCATTTTATAGGAATATTTGTAATTCTACTCAACTGTTATTTAATAGCTTAACTGCCAAATAAGAAAAACGGGTTAGATTAAAGATCAAGGAAGTGCTACTGGTCTGCTCTATTACACTTTTTCTGAATAATCTATAAGAAATAAATTTTAAAACATGTCTATGTTGGCTAGTGTTACCCAATAGGTTTGATTTATATGCCAGTGATGGCGAACCTTTTAGAGACCGAGTGCCCAAACTGCAACCCAAATCCCACTTATGGATCGTCGAGTGCCGGGTGGGTGTGGCCCATTGGGTGGGCGTGGCCCATTGGGTGGGCGTGGCTGCGGTGGTAACGGCAGACTGGGTGGGACTAAAAAGTTCAATCAATCAATTCCAACTTTGCAAGATCTTTTTTTTTCCGCGAGAAGTTGAAATTGACTGAACTTTTTTTTTTTTGCACACGGTGGCGGAGGCCTAAAGTGAAAAGGTTTTATAAAACCCAGCTGAAGGTCTAGGACTGGGGCGACGGGGCGCGTGCCCACAGAGAGGGCGCTGAGTGCCGCCTCTGGCACCCGTGCCATAGGTTCGCCACCACTGTTATATGCTATCAAGTCAGTATTGACTCATAGTGACTACAAAGATAGATTTTCTCCATGATGATTTGTCTCCAACCTGATTCTACATTTCTTCCAATGGAACATCTGTGACTATTGTTAATGGACCATCTATCACCTAAAAGGTTGTTCTCTTCTTCTCTTTCCTTCCACTTTTCCTGTGGTAGACACTTCTTCAGAGACATAGGTCTTCATAAAAGACCTTTAATTTGAACCTGGTTAGTGATGCCTCAGGGAAGAACTCTGCGTTGATTTGTTTGATGATCCCCTTAGTTTGTTATTTTGTCTATCCAAAATATTCTCAGGATTTTGAACAACAAAGTTCAAAAATGTCAAAACTTTATCCTGCTTTGTCGAAGTCCTACCTTCACTTACTGCCTGTATAATTTTCATCTTTGTAGATATGAACACATCACTGCATCTGAGTATCTCTTCCAAGTCCTTGTTTGCTACTTTAATCTGCATCACATTTTTTCATTGCTAGGTAATTTTTAATGTTGGTAGCTGATCCTAAAAGGCAGAAACTATCCACTATTTCAATATTTTCACTGACAGTTTCTAAAGCTGGTTGTTGCACCTGCTTTTATTAGTTTGGTCTTCTTTATGTTTAATCTAATTCCTATTTTTTTTCATTGTGTTCCTTGACTTTTATTAGTAGAGCTTGCAAATCATTTGCATTCTTAGCTATTACTACCCAAAATACATGCAGTTTTTCTTTAGTTTCCTGAGCTTTTTATCTTACTGATAAGTTAGCCCAAGATATATCTTTTTGATAAAGACAGAAAAGTCTGTCTTGCCTATCACCCTTATATCCTACATAAACAGGACTGTTTACTACCATTATCAACTGTTACCTTGCCACTAATGATGACACAACAGCCATCAACAAGTTATACCAGAAAGAAAAACAGGAAGCAGAACTATACCATTACTTCAGCTACTAAAGAGACCAGAAATGTGAAATTTTCTTCTCTTAGCCATTTCCATGCCAATTTGTTTGGATAAGAGCAGCAACTTCTCGTTACTTTATAGTTATTACTGAATTATTTTTGCATTCCAGCTGGTCATTCTACTATCAGTAATAAATTGCATATTAGCTCCCAAACATTCTTGTTTTCTTTTCCATCCTCTTCGTTCTCTCCTTTTTGATTTTTCAGCTTTGACTTATTGCTTTGCAGGCCATTCTGAGAATCTATCTGGCTAAAGGAGAGATTACAAATGTCTAGTTTTGTTAAATTTATTTGTTGATAGATGAATATTCCATCATTTCCCCAAGAGATTCATACAAATCAGCATCTGTCCTTAGCTAAAACACAGCACATAGCATTATATTCACCATGGAATGTCTTAGTTCCATAGTTGATCCACTACAGAATCCCTGAAAGATAATCATTCAGCTGTTTCAGGTCTTCAAACTCACGTGGCAGCCTGTTTCACAGGTTGACAGTTTGTACTACCAGGAAATTAGTCCCGATAACTATAGTGAATTTCCTTGTATTTTTAACTCTCTGGTTTTGGTTTGCCCTTTGGGCCACAGATAATACATCCGCACCCTTTTCTATATGACAACCATTCAGATATTTGATACCATAGCTCCACTCAGTTGAATTTTATACCGAGATCCTTTAAAAATTTCTCATGGAGATTGGTTTCTAAAACTTTCACTATCTTTGTGGCCCTTCTTGAACTTGCTCTGTTTTCTCACTGTGCTTTTTGAACTGTGGTGCCCAGAACTGGACAGATGGAGCAATTCTGATCTCTTAAATGAGTTCTATGCTTTGATGATAATGTACGTACCCAAAGGAGCATCTATCTTTTTTTGAGCTGCATCACACGGCTGGCTTGTGTTTAACAAGTGGCTGACGAAGAAACCCAGTTTCTTTACACATATACTACTGCCAAACCAGGTATTACCACTCAATATTTGTGCTATACATTTTTCCTACCCAGATGCTGAACTTTACATTATTTCTTGTTAAATTTTATTCTGTTTATTTCAGTCTACTGCTCAAATCCATCTAAACCTTTAGTGTACTCTCTTATCTAAAGTATAGCTGTCACTCCCAGATTTTGTGTCTTCTGTAAACTTTATAAGTGTTTCCACAACTCCCTCAAAGAAGTCACTGATCAAACTGTTGAAGAGCTTAGGACACAGGATCGATCTAAGCTGACTCTCTTAGGAGACGATAAACTGCCTGGGTAGGGTATCCAGTGATGGCTTTTCTCACCATCACTTGGCTTCTTCCAAAAGAGCCATGCTATGAATTTAGCTTTCATAGTGAACCCACAGCCAAATAAACTATGAGAATGCCCCTAAGTACTTCTTCTCTTAGAGCAGACATGTCAAACACAAGGCCCGGGGGCCGGATGTGGCCCACAAAGTGGTTTCATGTGGCCCGCGAAGCCATCCTGGAAACAGTGAGAGAACGGCCCCCTCTGCCTTGGCCCTGGCCCAGGCCAGCTGGGAGCCAATGTACAATTTTGTGGTGGCCATTTATGCTGAAACGCATTCAGTCTTAGTTCCATAAGCTCCCCCCCCCTTGCATGGCCTGAGAGGAACAGCGAGGCTCCTCCAGTGGACCATGCCTTGGCACTTTCCCTGGTCCCACTCCCTTCTGCCAGAGACCCTCAGATCTATCCCACTCCTGCCCAGGCCCCCACAGGCACCCTTGACGCGAACGATGTAGAGCTGGCCACACCCACCCAGTAGGCCACATCCACTCCATCCACGCCCACCCAGTAGGGCACACCCACCCTGGCCACACCCACCTGGCCCCGAGGGCAACCGCAATGCTGGTGCGGCCCTCAATGAAATTGAGTTTGACACCCCTGTCTTAGAGTATTCTGGTATTTATTGGTGGTCTTCCATTCAAGTACTAGCCAAGTCTGACACAGTTTATGTTTTTGAGATCAGCAAAGTAGTGTAGTTTTGTCATAAAATCTGTATCACTACCACTCAAAAGGGAAAAATCTGTTTGGGGCAACTGATTCTTCAGGAGATATCTTAGCTACAGCATGTACAATATCAGACACTTCAACTGTTTTAAGCTGTGTTGTTTGCTAAAACTTTGTCAGAAAAATAAACTGGACACAAATCCTTAACTTGAAGAACCATGACTTTAACCTTAACCCTTTCTTAATCCTATTTACCCAGCCACTTGATTTTAAGACACAAACAAAACCAATATTACAAGAAGTGTCAAGAACATACCTTGAACATTCTATTAAAGAAACTTTCAGTCTTCCTTCCGTTAGTGAGAAACCTTGTATACTGAGGTTCCGGTCTCTATATTCTTCAGGTGGCACAACTTGAAATGGAAAAAATGGTTTGAACCTAATCAAAAGATATGTACATATTATTTATTTAGAACTGTGATTTAGCAATTCATTCTGTTGTTACAAGACTCTGACAGGAAATATCTACAGCCCCAGAAATGAAATAATCATTATCATCATGGCCAACGATAGAGTATGTATTGCAATCATTGTTGCATCCAAAGGTTTTTGTATCTAGTGGCAACAAGTTTATGTGCTTGTAATTATTTCACATTTCCAAGTAATACTATTTGTGGTCACATGTAAGGTTTTATTTCCCAAAAGACTTGAAAAAATATCCTTGTGTTTACTTTTATGCTAGAAAGTTATAAGCATTTATTCAAGAATATGTAGTCTATAACACTTATGGAAAATCCATGCTATAAAAATATGGAAAACTTAAATGGCAATCTCCACAGGAGCAGGCAGGATATGTCAAACTAACAAAAGCAGTGTTGCTGTGTTGTAATGCAAGTTCTACCATTTTTTTAAAAAAATACATGCCCAAAAGGATAATGATTGTTGCATGATGGCACAACAGACTTTCTTCATTCTGATTAAAAGAGCAAGATCTTGCAAACACTGCTGAAGTATACTGTAATTTATAAAAGAATTGTATAAATAACTGATTGCATTTCATTTCATGCACTGGTTTCTGAAGGCCAAATTATCCCAGGTAATTCACTAACTTAGAAAGCTAGAGGGCACCTGATTTCTACAATCAATATCAATTTTCATGTTAAGGTAAAGTCTCCTTTAAGTTGAATATTACTCCTGATGACTTAATGGACATGGAAATGATTCACCATTGCATTCTTCCAGGATGTTGATGGTGCTATTGTACGAGGAAATAAGGTGTTCTTTAGGAGAAGCTTAACACCCCACTTTCCAGGGACTTGAGAAATAATAAACCCTGTCGGCATAAGATATTAGGACATAAGCATAGGTGCTAGGAAGCAAGGCCAGTATAGCCATAAAAGTAATTATCTAGAAAGAAATCATGAGAATCCTGTCTTTGAGGGTTTTTTTTTAACTATACCACTGCTTTTTATCATTCTACTTCACAGACAACCCCCCATCTCCATTTGACTTCTCTAAACCCAGTACATCTTGGTATATCCAAAGAATTACTTTGCTGTATACAATTGAGGGAAGTCAGCCCCCCAGGGAAGGAAATATTAAAAGGGCAGAAAAATATATTTCCTCAAAAGGATTTTAAAAGCAGAAGCCAACCCTGCCCCCAAGTCTCTCTGTCCCAAGCAGAAGCCAGCCCTATACAAATGCAGATGTAAACCATCAGAAAGGCCCCAGCTAGGAGATCAAGAAGACAAAGACCTAAAATCTGCATACCCCACCTGAGATGGGACATAATAGGACTAACCCATCACCATCAAGAATACCAGAGAGGCTCACCTAGACTCAGGTCAGAATACGTGACACAGGAAATAGCCTCCAAGTTCATGCCACAGGAACAGGAAACCATTCCAAACAAAAGACTTCAGAGGTTATAAAAACCTACTTCCCACATGTGTTCGGCCCTTTTCTTTTTTGTCTCCTCTCTGCTGCCAGAACCATCTTTCTGTCTGGCTCTTCAATAAACTGCAACCTTCTTTCTAAAGCAGTCGCCATGTTGTTTATTTATTCCCGGCTTGGATGAACCAGGATGAAGACTTTTCCTTCAAACAATCATAAGTACCGGTATATTCTAATGTAAACTCTATGCAGAGGGTTTCATCCTCACTCTTTTTAGATTGCTTCTATAACCTCTGGTGCCATAAAAATATAATTTGTGTTTCATATGATGAGGGTATATACTGTAGCTGATCATAATTATTAAACGACTTTATAGAGACATTTTTCCCTCCATGATGCCAGCCAAGTATTACCCAGGTCCAACCATGCTTTTTGTGATAATCCATGACAGTTAGATGCTGCCACTAGCTGGGTGTTTTTATGTGGATTTTTTTTTAAGAGGGTGTGTCCTCAAATCAATCTCAACTCCTTGTGACTGCCTAGACAAGTCCTGGCAGTTTTCTTGGCACATTTTCAGTAGTGATTTTTACATTAGCGGTACAAATAATCCTTACAACTACAACTGGGATCAAAATCTCAATCACTGAGTAAGGTGGTCATTAAATGAGACATCACGTGGCTGCTTTGCTGAATAACAGTAATCCCAGCACTGTAAGGACGATCTGTTATTATGCAGTTTTCTGAAAAATCAAAATGTTCCCCTATTGGGTTAAATTATTTCCATTTTTGTTTTTGTATTCCATTATTCTTTTGCGTAAGGATTGCCTAGTTTGTCTTAGGCAGAGCTTAGTAATTACAAAGTATTTTTTACCTTTCAGAGAAATTGTGAAGATAATTTTCCAAGTTGTAAAGAAGACAAAACTAACTATGCTAATTTACCTTGCAAACGTTCTTCTTAATAAGGGAATATTTGGTCATTCCACTATACTTTACATATTTAGAGAACGGAATCTGGCCAGTGGTGAGCAGAGTTCTTAGGTTCCTTAACAATAAGAAAGTTGCATGCCACTGTGCCAACTTAAGTCAGACATTACCACTGCCTTGCAACATAATGTCAACACCTCATGCAGTTCAAGACATGTATTGCCACGTGTATGAGAAAATATGTAATTACATTATTTACCACAATGCTTCTCTACATAACGTCTCACCAAGCCAAGAGCAAAAATGGGAAGCTACCTTTCCATGCCCACTCATACTAGCCTGATGTCAACCACTTCACACACCAGACTGGCACAGTCTTGAAATGCCTGCATGCTAAATTGGATAAGGAGCAGGCATAGGTGCCAGTATTCCCTGGCCATCAGTCTTACCCAATCACAACCAGAGCCCTAAGAGAATTTGGTCCCGTTCTGCCTGGGAAAAATATATATCACAGGAAATGAAAGAGAAAAAAGAGAAATAATTTGCAAAATGTACAAAAATACCCTGTTAACCATGCTAAGCTTGCTTACGGAAGTCTTAGAGAGAGAGGTGGTGACGGTTAACATCTTGTTGTGAATCAGATAGAAGGTAATCCATTATATATTTGTATTATATTACATATTAAATTGTGTACGTAGACAATTATATTCTACGTGTTTATTGTACTATAAGAAACTTACCAATTTGCATTCTTACTATTTGTTAGCACATAATTAGCTTACTGAGACTGTAAAATAAAGTTTCAAGTAATTCTCAAAAGAATTATTTTTAAATGAAGATTTGTTTTAAAGACTCAGCATCACAATTCCAACTCTTCATGCTCTTTCCAGAAAATTCACATGCACACTGAAAATAGAATTTTATAGACAAAATTCAAGAATATCCTATATCACATGCATATTCAAATAATGTCATCTGAAATAACAAATAGGTTTGCCAATTGTGCACCCACATCAGATTATCAGGCACATTAACACCTGCTCTAACAGATAATTAAAAATAAATTGTTCAGAACAAGTAACTATGAGGACTACAAGATCTCATTCTCATATCACAATTATAAATGTTTCTGAATCAATGTAGTGACCCATCCTTCTAAGCACATACACAGAAGTTCTGCAGAATTTTAATAATGTAAAATAAATAGACAGTAGCAGAATCCAATGTCATCTGTCACTAGTGTTAGGAAAATAGCATCCATAAGGAAATAGCATTTATAAGGAGGTTACATAGAAAAAAGGAATAATTATATACAAAAGCATAAATTACTGGTAACAATTTAAAGTGCATACAAAAATGGATGCATAACTTGGTAAACTGAGGATATATACATGCAAACTTTTTAAAATATAATTTTATTAAGGATCTTAATTACAATAGTAAAATCTAATATAAACTAAAAGAAAGAATAGAAAAAAGAATGAAAGTTACCAGTAAAAATAAAGTAAAAAACAGAAAGAATAAAAGAATAAAGAAAGAAATATATAAAGAAATGACTTCCAAACTTAGCCCAACAAGGATAAATAATTTTAGCAACTCTTCATCCCTTTTAGTATGCAACCAATGATCTCTTCATCCCATACCCCATCTCTTAAGTATTGGTAGTCCTTGATTTATGACCCATTCGTTTAAGGACCATTCCAAGTTAACAGGGATCTGAAAAAAGTGAGTTATGACTGGTCTTTGCACATATGACCATTCCAGCAGCCCTGCAGTGACATGATCAAAATTTGGGAGCTTGGCAACCTGCATGTATTTACAATGGTTGCCGCATCTCCGGGTCACCTATTTGCCTGTTGTGGTCTTTCCAAGGGGCTTCTGACAAGCAAAGTCAATGGAGGAAACTAGATTTGCTTAATGACTGCAGCAGAAAAGGTGGTAAAATCAGGCACAACTCATTTAACAACCACGTTGCTTAGTGATGAAAGTTTCAGTGCCAACAGTGGTTGTAAGTCGAGGACTATCTGCATAAACAAATGCATAAAGCACAATCTTTTCTGTCCTGGTATCAGCTGAAAGTCTATTAACAACGTATCTTATTTTAACCTTCATCAAATGAACTAATTTTATATTTCTTCCTTTTTTAACAGCCTTAATCTTTAGTCCATTCAAATTTCTTTTCTGTCTCTTCTGATAAGATTCTTTAAAGCTTTAACAAGCCTCTTTGTAAATCCAATATAACAAAAATTACCCACGTAGTTTGCTACAGCTGGTCCAGAACACACTTCCATGAGCAGTTATAGGCATTTCCTACTTCACCCATGTAACATCTCTACTCTGCAAGCTGCACAAGTTACAGTAATGTCCAGGTGCAATGCAAGGTGTCGATTGTCACCTTCAACATCCTTAGGACCTAGTTAACTTCAGGACCATCTTTCCCCTAATCCTTCTTCCAAAACAATAAGAGTTGGCACAGTATAGGTGGCATGCTCTAGGTCTGTTGTAAAGCATTGCCACATGAAAGAGCTAAGAGATCCACCATTTCTTAGTATATAAAATGAAAGGAAACCTCACTCCCTACTAGCACTATTGATGTTACCTCATTTGATAATGAAACGTTTG